GGCCCGAGGGCCCTAATAATAAGTCCAACAAGTCTGTAAGGCTGTAAGGTTCGAAGATTAAGAGACAGCCAAACCGCTTTTGTAAGCAGCCTAGCCGCCTCTAAGACTCGCCGCCTCTAAGCCTCGAAGCATCCAAGCCTTTAAGCTCTGAGCTCTAAACTCTAAACTGTAAAGTTCTACATGCTGTAAAGCCGAATCGCTCTAAGGCCGAAGGCCCTGCAGGCCAGGCAATCTGAGGCTCTGAGGTTTTTTCGGCTCCGACCCTTGATCCTCCCGGCCCGAAGCCTAATTAAAAATCACAAAGAGGCCTCAAGCCTGAAGCCTTCAAGTTTCCAAAGCCTAAAGTATCCTAAAGCCCCGGACCCAAGCCTTCGCGACTTCACGGCGAAGCAGACTAAGGCGACTAAGGCTCTACCCCAAGGCCCTGAGGCTGCTATAAGGCTCGAAGTCCAAGGCTCGAAAGTCTATGCCGAAGTTTAAAGACTTGAAGACCTTGATACGCCCCTTGAGCCCAGCCTTAAGCCGCCTTAAGGCTTGCCTTAAGCCTACAGCCGCCTTAAGCCTTAAGCCTTAAGCCTTAAGCCTTTGTTATCGCAAGTGACTCTGAGGGTCTAACTAGCGCAGACATAGCCTGGCAGGCTACGACTGGGAGTTCGGCACCTACGCTGACTACTTCAAGGAAGTCGTCAAGAGGGAGAACAACACAAAGCACCAGCAATTTCTCGAAGCTCGCAAGCAGTGGATAAAATCCCACGCTGACAACAGCAAGGGCACTCGGCTTCGAAAGAAGGATGAGCTTTTCGCTGCAACGCGAAAGTTACAGGCCGAGCGCCGGGTGGGCGGCCGCTTTCAGAAGCCCGAGAAATCGTTTGTGACGCCCGATGGCTGGAACCCGGCAATTCACGGCGGCGAGTACGACAAGTCCAAGGAAGTGGAGGAGGAGATCTTTGGCAAGGTCGTGAAGGGCTGCTGGGTGAGCACTTCGCCAGCTGGCATCTACAAGTTCAGCGAGTTCGACGAGAAGCTCATGAAGGAGATCGACGAGGAGCACAACCCTGAGGACTCCCTGTTTTCCGACGAGGCCCTCGCTCGGAAGAAAAAGGCAGCCGCGGACGCCGTCGAGCAAGCGGCAAAGGCGCGAGACAACGTGGCTGTCCAGGGCAAGGAGCTGTCCCTGGGCAGTCTCCTCCAGAGCATTCAGAACTTTTCCGGCGCAAGCTCTTCCCGCGCGGCTTGGAACTTCTGAGTTAAGGCTAAGGGCTAAGGCGGTTACGGTTAAGGCTTAAGGCTTAAGGCTTAAGGTTAAGGCTTAAGGCCTGTTAGGCGTTAAGGCCGTCAAGGGCTGAGGTTTGGCGCGCGTAACGCGGCTAAGGCTTAAGGCTTATAAGGCTTATAAGGCTTATAAGGCTTATAAGGCTTATAAGGCTTATAAGGCTTATAAGGCTTATAAGGCTTATAAGGCTTATAAGGCTTGTAAGGCTTACAAGGCTTATAAGGCTTATAAGGCTTATAAGGCTCTTGAGGCTCTTGAGGCTTGAGGCTTAAGGCTTATAATAATCATTAAGGTAGACTTTAAGGCGGGCTTAACGTGGTTTTAGGTTTTACAGACTCTAAAGTCCGCCTTGAGCCTCAAGACTAAAACCGTAAGGCCTTAACGCTCCTTAAGCTTGAGGCTTTAAAGCTTGAAGGCTTTAAGGCTTTAGGTTTAAGGCGCTTAAGGTTTAAGTTCAAGGCTTCAGGCCTAAGGCTTAAGGCTTAAGGTTCAGGCACTCTTTGGGCGCAGCTTGAGTCTCAAGGCCGCAGGCCGAACTTAGGCTTGAGGCTTAAGGCTTCAGCTTTAGAAGGCTTAAGGCCTAAGGGCCTAAGGTCTAAGGAGTCTAAGGGCCTAAGGCCTAAGCTTTACGGTTTGAGGGCTTAAGGGCTTAAGGCTTAAGGCTCAAGGGCTCAAGGGCTTAAGGGCTTAAGGGCTGAAGGCTGAAGGCTTAAGGTTTAAGGCTTATAAGGCTTAGGCCTTAAGGCTTAAGGTTTAAGGCTTAAGGCTTAAGGTTTAAGGCTTAAGGCTTAAGGCTTAAGGCTTAAGGCTTAAGGCTTAATGCTTAAGGCTTAAGACCCTTAAGCCAAGCCCTAAGGCCTTAAGCCTTAAGGCCTTAAGCTTTAAGGCTTAAGGCAGGCTGAAGGTTCAAGGTTCAAGCCTCAAGGCTAAAGGCCAAGGCTCAAGGACTCAAGGCTCAAGGCGCAAGGCTCAAGGCTCAAGGCTCAAGGCTCAAGGCTCAAGGCTCAAGGCTCAAGGCTCAAGGCTCAAGGCTCAAGGCTCAAGGCTCGGGTTACAGGTTCAGGGTTTACTCGAACTCAAACTCAAACATAAACTGCGCTGTTGCGCCGTTAAAAATCTTTCAGTCGCCTTTCAGTTAGCAGCCTTTTAAACTTTTAGGCCTAAGCCGCCTATGTCTTTTTGAGCATTTTTGCCAAGGACGGCGCCTGCAAGAAGACCGACGGCGACGAGAGCTCCTCTGGCGAGAGCAGCAGCAGCAAGCCGGGCGTCCAGGGCTCGTCCGAATCTGATGCTGAGGCCGGGCCGTCTGCAGCGCAGAGGCTGTTCGGCAGGTGCCAGCCGAAAGCGAAGTCCCAGTCCCAGCCTGCCCCTGCTGCTCAAGAAGCGAAGGCGAAAGCCAAAGCAAAGGCTCCGAAGGGCGGGCCTGGAGTCCAGCGCAGCAGGCCTCCGGCCGAGTCATCCGCTCCGAAGATGTTGTCGCTCGTTGCAGCCTCTTCGGCGGGTCTCGCAGCCCAGTCGAAGGCTGGAGGCGGGGATATGCTTCTCGTGGACGGGCGTGCCAAGAGGGCTTTCAACACGCTGCAGGAAAAAATTGAGGAGTACCAGCTCAAGCTGGCCGGATTGGCTTTGAACGACGCCATTCCCGAAGCCCACGCGCGGGGAGGCTGGAAGCAAGACTTGCAAAAGAGGGCGATTCTGTGCAGGAGCATTGCGAAGGGCTGCAAGGAACTCGTTCGTAGAACCGAAAAGAGCTCCAACAAAGAGTCCTTCGGCTCGGCGTTAGAGCGACTGGAGCAGCAAGCCAACGCTGCGCAAAGCATCGACAAGCTGTTCAGCACTTCTAGCGCAGAGCAGCCAGATGCTCAGCAGATGGTTCAGGCGTACGACAGCTGCGTCCGTTGCTTGAGCGAGGTCCTGAAGCCTAACAAGGCCTTGGGCCCAGTCTTCCAGCTGAAGTACATTTTGGCCAAAGGCAACCTCCACTGCCTGTACCAGGAGTACGCCCAGTTTAGCCGACTCTTTCTGTGGAGCGGGGCTGAAGAGATGGAGGCTCTCGGGAAGGTCTTGGACCGGGATGATCTCCAGAGTCACGTCGTGACTGAGGTGGAGAACCGGGTCATTCTTGCACTGCGTGCAGTGCAGCAGCAAGATCTCCAGGTCCTTGCTGCCTCAGGCGCCCTGGAAGGAGGGCTTTTGGAGGCTTCTTCGCTTTGCTCAGCCTTGATCGATTGCGGGAAAGCGGAGGGCGACAACTTTGTCCCGCTGGTTTTGCTGGAGGAACTAGGAGCGGCTCGCGGCATCTTGACTCTGGGCCAAAACGACCTCAAGGATCTCCTGAAGACAATCGACAAGTTGAGCGCCATGCAGTGCCACATTGAGTCCAAGGAAGAAGAGGAGGCCGAGGGCTTGGGCTCAGCCATCTCCCGCTTCTTTCTGCAGCACGCCACTGGCAAATCGCTGTTTGACATGGCCTGCGGCCGAGTGGAAGCGAGCAAGAAGGAGGCAGAGGCCGAAGAGGCTGTCAAGGACTTTGCAAAGCTTGTGAAGAACGCGGGGACAGCCGATGTGAACTCGCAGTTGCTAGACCAGGTATTCCTTCCTGCAGTCATCCAGTATCAGACCGCGCAGAAACTTTGCCAGGAGTTGAAGAAGAGCGCGAATGAGAAGGACAAGGTCTTGTCTTCGGCTACAGAGTGTTTGCGCAGGTCTTAGGAAAGCAGCAGGGAGGCCTTCCTTCAATGCGTCGAGGACTCCAGCGTGAAGCATTTGCGGACGCAGTTCCGGCCTGCGCTGCGACTTGCCTGCTCTTACGATTGAGGCCCCAGCCTGACCATGCCCTAAGCCCGAAGCCAAACCCAAACCCCAGGCCCCATCCTAAATCAATCCCAAGCCTAAACCAGGCTAAACCACCTACCTAAACTGAACCCAGGCCCCAAAGTCTAATGATGTTTAAAGTTCAAAGCTTACAACTTACAGAGTCTTCTTAAAGTCTTAAAGTCTTAAAGTCTTAAAGTCTTAAAGTGACTTAACAACTTAAAGACTTAAAGGCTTGCTTAAAGGCTTAAGGCTTAAGGCTTAAAGGCTCAAGGCTTAAGGCCCTAAGGCTTAAAGTAGGCTTAAAGGCTTAAAGGCTGGCTTAACGTCTAAAGTCTGAGTCTAAACTAAACCCTTAGGCCTTAGGCCCTAACCGTGACTGAGCGCCTTGGGCCTTAGGTCCCTGGCCCTAGCCTAAATGCCCTAAGCTCTAAACTCAAACCTCAGGCCCGAAACTGCCCTGAATGCCGCATTAAAGTTACAGTCAAAGTTAAAGCATTAAGCCTTAAGCCCTTAAGCCCTTAAGCCCTTTAAGCCCTTAAGCCTTAAGCCCTTAAGCCCTTAGCCTTAAGCCAAAACCCTTAAGCCCTAAACCCTAAGCCCTAAGCCCCTAAGCACTAAGCCCCAAGCCCTGAGCCCTAAGCCAGCCTTCGCCCCTTAGCCTTTACCGTAATTACCTGAAGCCTTAAGCCTAGCCAAAAGCCCTTAAGCCTCAGGGCCTTAGGGCTTTAGGACCGCTTAGGCCCGAAACCCGTAGACATCAGCCTTAAGCCTCACAAGCATAAAAGATCAGTCCTCAGGACGAAGCTAAATCTGGGCAGAGAAGCTTGGCGTTGCCAGGAAAGCGCTATGCCCGAGGCCCCTTTAAGCTCAAGACCAAGACTAGGCCTCAGGCCTTAGGCCCTAGGCCCTAGGCCCTAGGCCTGAAGCCTTAGACCCTTAGCCTTAGGGCGTTAGAGCCTGTAGACTGTATAGGCCTTAGGCCCTGGCTGAGCCTTCTGGATACGGTTTGCTCTTATGGTGATTTTGGTGCTTAACGCGTTGTCAGACCGGCCCGAGGCCCCTCGTGAGTCTGAAGCCTTACATCTTAAGTTAAGAATCTTAAGTCTTAAGAAGAGTCTTAAGTCTTAAGTCCTAAGGCTTGAGGCTTAAGGAGTTAAAATTTAAGGAGTTTAAGGCTTAAGACTTAAGGCATAAGGCTTAACGCTTAAGGCTGCGGCTAAGTTTAAGGCTTAAGGCTTAATTAAGGCTTAAGGCTTAAGGCTTAAGGCTTAAGGCTTAAGGCTTAAGGCTTAAGGCTTAAGGCTTAAGGCTTAAGGCTTAAGGCTTAAGGCTTAAGGCTTAAGGCTTAAGGCTTAAGGCTTAAGGCTTAAGGCTTAAGGCTTAAGGCTTAAGGCTAAGTCTTTCAGGGCGTGGCTGAGCTTTCTTGATGTAGTTTTGGTTTTGGAAGTTTCAGACCCTTGTACTGCTCTTTACGCGTGGATATATATTATATGTATAAGTCATAAGTCAGTATATATTACGTGAAACAGGGAGGGAGGGAGGGAGGGAGTGAGGGAGGGAGAGAGGGAGAGAGAGAGAGAGTTAGTTGCTAGCTTCAAGCCTGCGAGCCACATATTAATACGAGCCGGGAGATCTAGGAGTCTTATGCGCGAGGCGTAGTCAATCCGAGTCAATCCCCTCTTCTTTGCGCAGCTCAGGCTGGCCATCTGCGAAGGTTTGGAGAACGACGGCAGAGTGTCTTGCGGCGACGATGGCGGCCACACGCAGCTGCTCAGTTTGGACGACACTTGGCCAGTGATCCAGCAGACCAGCTTCGTTGAGCACCACGTCTGGAAAGACGTGCCTGGCAAGGTGACGTGCTTGGGCAGGTACAAGAAATTCGCAGATGCTTTCTGCAAAATGGGGGAGTACTTGTTTCGCCAGCTTCCTTCGTTCCAGCACCTACCCAAGACGGAGCCGACGGCTGCTACCATGCGGCACTGGGCCAACCAGTTGTCGACTGAGTTGGGGGAGTGGGTCGTAAAAGACGAAGACAAGGAGAAGGCTGCCAAGACGTGCTTCCAACGGTGCGCTGACCACTTCAAGACCGCTTTCTCGGCAGGGCTAGCAGCGGTTGCCCAGGTCGTAGCCCAGGTAAAGAAGGGACAGGCGCCCCTCACCCAGCAAAGCGTTGACGAGCTCTTGTGCAAGATCCCGTCGGATCACCCTCTCCGAAGTTTGTGCTCCGCTTTCTTTCAGGAGCGTCTGGCCAAACGTTCATATGTATGTATATTATATATATATATACATAATACATATATCTGCGTGCGTGTGTGTATCTATCTTTATACTCATGCAAGATTTACAGGCAGGCTATAGGCTCTATACAGGCCCACTAGGCTATAGGCCCTAGGCTATACTAAAGCCTAAGACTGCAAACACTATATACTATATACTATATACTATATACTATATGCTATATGCTATATACTATATACTATATACTATATACTGTATACTATATACTACTATATACTATATGCGATATGCTATATATATATATATATATAGTTCCTAAAGGTTCAAAAAGGCTCTAGACTCTAGACTCAGGCCTAGTGGCCAGTAGGCTATAGGCCCTATAGGCTATAGGCCCTGCACGCCGTATGGCCCTGTAGGCTATATAGACTATAGATATGCATCTTAGAGGCTTAGAGTCTTAGGGTCTTAGAGTCTTAGAGTCCTCAGAGTTGATGGTTGGGCATGCGAGGCTTTGAGACTTTGAGATCTGGCTTTTCTTGCGTAGCTGGGGGCTCGTTGCTTTGCAGGTCGTCCTCGACTCCAACCCCGCAAAGAAGGAGGCCAAGCTGGCAGAGACGCTGACGACCATGAGCTCTGAGTTGCGCGAAGCGAGGGCCAAGATCCCAAGCGACGCTAGCGTCGCTGAGCATTTGACGTGCAGCCAGCTAGACAGCGTGGACGACTGGCTGCTCTCCGTTGCCGCCGACTTCTTGACGCAGGCAAAGGAGCGTTTGAGCGAGGGCTTTGCCCGGGTGTCTGCGACTTCAGTCGAGGTCGACGCAGTGCTGAAGAAGCTGCCTGACTTCGCAGACGAGGTTGCGTTTCGAGAAGCGGGCGTTCAAGTTGTGCAGAAAGTGGCAGGCCTCACGGCCAAGTTGGAGCAGGAGGCTTCTTCTCTGAAGGAGAACGCCAGTAGCGCAGAGGCTTGCATGAAAGCGCGCTTCTCAGACAGAGCGCCCGATGCTGCCCTCCTCCAGAGCTGCGGAGAAGCAGCGAAGCGCGTCAGCTCAGAGTTCCTCAAACAGACAAGCGGCCTGGTTGCTCGGGCAGGATCTGTCGTGGCCTTAGTCGCGAACCTTTGTTTGCTGCGCAGCCCGGCGCTTCAAGCACCTTCGCCTTCGGCAGACAGCTTTGAGCAGCTCCGCGACGTCGTGAAGTCTTTGGTGGGGAAGCTGGGCAAGATGAAGGAGATAGCGAGCGACAGCGATGAGTTTGACAAGGCTTTCTTGAGCTTTGCGGACGGGATTGTGACCCAGTCCAAGCTTGTGCTGGCGCGGCAGAAGTCTGTGAAGCGTGGCTCAAAGAGAGCCGCCGGAGACGAAGCTGAGGAGGTCCTGGAAGCAGGCGAGTCAGCTTCAATGCTGCCAAAGTCAAAGCTGTCAAAGAAAGAAGCGAAGGACGAAGTGACGAAAAAGGACAAGAGCGACAAGAAGAAAGATAAGGACAAGGACAAGTCGGACAAGGTCCAGGAAAAGGCCAAGAGCAAGAAGAAGAAGAAGAAGGCTAAGGAGGACAGCGACACGGACGAGGAGGACGCGAGCGACAACGAGGCGCAGAAGAGCAAGAAGGCCAAGAAAGACATCGGCGAAGAGAAGAAGGCCGGGCCGAAGGCGAAGGCGACTCCGAAAGCCGGCAGGGGTAGGGGAAGAGGCAGAGGCTAGGGCGACCTGTAGACGCTGTAGACAGTTCGGGCCGGCGGCCAAGCTGGTCGGCCCAGCTGCTCATCCGTAGGCTCTATCCAAGCTGCTTCTCTCGCGCCTGCTGTGCCGGCAGCTCGTGCCGTTAGTTTTTGAGAGCTGCGACGCCGGCGGCGGCGGGAAGGTCGGGCCTTTGGCTGGGTGAGTTCAAATTTCAGAATCGCAACAGTCCGCAAGAGCCACAGTCGCAAGACAAGGCTTCGAGCCTAGGACCTAGGCCTATAAGTAGCCACGATAATTAAGCCTAAGCCACCTAAGCCTAAGCCTAGGGCCTAAGGCCTGAGACGTTTACTGAGATGTCCCAGCGCCATTTCGACGCAGTCGTGCTCAGGACTTCGCGGGGTTACAGGTCGCCGCGTCCGAAAAAAAGGCGCCTGCGCTTTGCTCCGCTGCTAGATTCGGCTGGCCTAGTTTTTAGGGCTTCAGGCTTCGGCTTAGGGCCTTAGGGTTTTAGGGCCTTTAGTGTAGTTAGGGTTTCGGTTAGGGTCTAGTTTAGTTTAGTTTAGGCAAGTTTAGGGCCTATAGGGTTTAGGGCCGGTTTTAGGATTTAGGGCCTAAGGCCTAGGACCTAGGACCTAGGACCTAAGGCTGGCCTAAGGCCTAAGGAAGGCCGAAGGCCTACGTAAACATTAGGCTTCGGGCTAGGGCAACGGGTTTAGGGCCGGGTTGAGAGTTCAGGTTTAGGGCAGTTTAGGGCCTAGGGCCTAGGGCCTAGGGCCTAGGGCCTAGGGTTGAAGTCTAAGTTTAGGGAGTTTAGGGCCAGTTTAGGGTTTAGGGCCAAAGTTTAGGGCCTAGGGCCTAAGGCGCTTGGAGTGTAATTTTAGGGTTCGTCGTAAAGCATCGTAGGTTTTGGCGGCCAGGGTTCAGAGGAAAAGTTGAGAAGATTGGTTGAGAGTAATTTAGAATGCCAGCTGTAGCGGCGTCAACGTCAAATAAACTTGCCTCGTGTTTGGAACTTGAAGCCCAAAATCCCAAAACCCCGCAAGAGAATCCAAGACTACGATTCGTATTTAGGCGCTACGCGTCATCTTAGGGGCCTTCAGCGGCATTTAGGATCTTAGAGTCTTAGAGTCTTAGAGTCTTAGAGTCTTAGAGTCTTAGAGTCTTAGAGTCTTAGAGTCTTAGAGTCTTAGAGTCTTAGTGACTTAGCGTCTTAGAGTCTTAGAGTCTTAGAGTCTTAGAATCTTAGAGTCTTAGAGTCTTAGAGTCTTAGAGTCTTTAATTAAGCTTTAAACTTTAAAGTAAAGTCTTAAAGTCTTAGACTTAGACTTAGACTTAGACTCTTTAGTAGACTGTTAGACTCTTTGCTTGCGGCTCAGTGAGGGCTGTAGTCAGCGTAGCCGTAGCCGTGGTAGTCGTAGCAGTCCTGTCGCTAGCCCGCGCTCTCGACAGCTCGTTGCCGAAGGCGAGGCAGACAGACATGGGGCCTAAGCAAAAGAAGCCACGGTCTTTGACCAAGCAAGACTCCGCTGAGCCTGGTCTCATGATAGCGGCCTCGCGCCGGGTGGTGTTAGCAGCTGACATCGTCGATGGCACCATGCTCCACGCGTTGGCCCTCGAGAACTTGCAGCAGTTCAAGTCCATGCATCCCGACAGCCCTTTGTGCTGCGGACAAGCGGCAAGTCAGCCTGAAGCGCTGGAGCTGTCGTGGGCGTCAGCCTGCTCCGGCTCAGAGGGCGCGTTCTACGTGACGGAGGCCATGAACGCAGCCTACAAGCGCATGTCCGTGCCAGTTTCGCTGGAGCACGTTTTCAGCTGCGAACGCCTCTTGGACCGTTTTGACTAGACCCTTGTTACTGTCGCTTCTGCTTCTCAAACCTGCGGTAGACCGAAGCAAGGCTCAAGTCCCTCTAAGCGTAGGACTTTTGTTAGGCGCGGCCTCAAGATTGCTCATAAGTAAAGTGTAAGTTGAATTTTGCGTTGCGTTTAGTTTCTTGCTGAAGCTCTAAGGCTCTAATAAGGGGCTTGAGGCTTAAGCTTAAGGCTTAAGGCTTTAAGGCCCTAAGGCTTAAGGCTTAAGGCTTAAGGGCTTAAGGCTTAAGGCTAAAGGCTTCAGGCTTAAGGTTTTCAGGCTTAAGGCTTAAGGCTGGCTTAAAGGCTTATGGCTTAAGTTCAAGGCTTAAGTTCAAGGCTTAAGGCTTAAGGCTTAAGGCTTCAGGTTTAAGGCTTAAGGCTTAAGGCTTAAGGCTTCAGGTTTAAGGCTTAAGGCTTAAGGCTTCAGGCTTAAGGCTTAGGCTTAAGGCTTAAGGCTGGCTCAAAGGCTTAAGGCTTAAGTTCAAGGCTTAAGGCTTAAAGCTTAAGGCTTAAGGCTTAAGGCTTACGGCTTAAAGCTTAAGGCTTAAGGCTTAAGGCTTAAGGCTTAAAGGCTTGCTTAAGTTTAATGATGATGCTACGGTTAAGGCTTAAAGTTGGCTTAACGCTGACTTAAAGCCTGCCTGCAAGCCGCCTCAAAACCCTTCAAATACAAGTAGGAGTTGTTCATCGGCTGCTATGCTCCCAAGGTGCGCCCGAGAAGCAGAAGTGGATCCAGGCCTTGTTGGCAGTGGGCCCATTGCGCGACATCGACTCTGACGACTGGCCTCCTGCAATCGACCACGAGAGCTTCGGTCACGTTGAACATGGCGGCATTGGCTTTGGCCATTGCGTGTTTCAGGACATCACGGAGTTGAAGGGGCTTGAGGCCGCGTGCTGCAAACATAACAGGTCATGCGACGTTCCTTCAGTCGACATTTTGGTGGTTGGGACCTCTTGCAAGGATCTGAGTAGGCTGAACCATACTGCGGACGGCGCAGGCGCCGGCAGTAGGACAAGCAAGCAGGTCCTCGCGCAGGCTTCAAGCCGGGGCGGCTCAGCGCAGACCTTCGCTGGCCTTCTCGGCTATGTTGAGAGTCATCGCCCGCTCTGCGTGCTCTACGAAAACGTTGATGCCATCAACGACCAAGCTGGTGCATGCGAGGACAATAACCTCAAGATACTGCTGGGCAAGTTCCACGCTTTGGGATACGAGGCGCAGCCAGTCATGACTGACGCGTGCGAGTTTGGGCTGCCTGTTCATCGCCACAGAGTGTACATATTGCTCGTGAACAAACGCAGTCCCAAGCTCGACTTGCTCAGCAGGCCACTTGATATCGTCATGCAAAAGTTTCGCCAGCTTGTCAGCAGTTGCGCTCGCTCACCGCCTTGTCTCTCCAAGGTGTTGCTAGACGACGATCATGAGGCAGTTGAAAAGAGTTATGAAGAGCGGCTGGCGCGCGCGCAGAAAAGCCAGGCCAAGAAGAGCCCTTCTACAAAGACAGTCAACTGGGTCAACCAGCACATGAAACACGCAGACTCCCTGGGAGTACGGTGGGCCTCGGCGCCGGGTGAGGCGCTGCAAGGGAACAAATGGTTCCAGCTGCTCACAGAGCGGGAAGCCGACGCGTTGAAGCTTTCAGAGGTGGAAGCGCCTAGCGCGGGTTTCAGGAACCTTGCTCAGAGCATCGGCCGCAACAACTTTGTCACCAGGCAGGAAGATGGCACGCACCTTGGCCCTACCATGCTACCAGGGCAACTGATGTGGACAAACCTGACACAACCTCAGCCGCGCTTGCTCAGCGGATTCGAGGCCATGATGCTGCAGGGCTTTCCGATCGGCCCGTGCTTGATGAGAATGAATGAGGAAGGCTACCTCGTGACAGCAGAGGCCGCGACAGCCAAGCAAAAGGAGTTTCCCACCGATTCTTTGCTCCAAGACCTCGCGGGAAACGCAATGGCGTTGCCAGTGGTCCTGAGCATGATGCAAGCCGCTTTGTCAGCCTTGTGGCTGCAGCCAGCGCAGCAGGAGTCCAACGCTATGGCTGTTGAAACGGCCTTAGGCGCCATGTTCCTGCTGTCATCAGGGGGCCTCGGGCCGGGAGACTCGCAGGCTGCGGAAGACGACGATGAAGACTTCTGATTCGGATCCATTGTCGCGGCCCGCCCGCGCGTCTTGATCTTCTCGAGCAAGCGGCCCAAAGAGGACCTAGTTTTGGCTCACTCGAGACTCTTGACTCTCGACGATTCTTGCGAGCGGAAGATCGATGCGAAAGGGGGGGGGAGAGACCGTATGACGACGTATGACGTATGACATAGCATGGCATAACATAACGTATGACGTAAGCATATGACATACGAGGCATGACGTGTGACGTATGACGCATGACGTATAGACATATACGACGTAATACTTAATACGACGTACGACGCTGGCAGCGGCGGTGCTGCAACAATTATTAGCAACTTGTAAGCAATTTCAGCAGCAATTGTTTTAACAATAAAACAATTGTTCTAACAATTGTTGTAACAATTAAACAATTGTTCTAACAATTGTTGTAACAATTAAACAATTGTTATAACAATTGTTGTAACAATTAAACAATTTTACCAACAATTATTGTGCTTATAAAACAATTACCGTTGTGTATTGGTGCCCACCGGCAGCACCGGGCTTCTAAGAACACCTAACCCTAAACCCTAAGCCCTAAACCCTAAACCCTAAACCCTGAACCTCCGAGTAGGATGTGGTTTTTTGGGGCCCCGACTAGTGTGCAGTTGGAGGTTCATACTCGTGACCTAAGCATAGCGGTACAAAGACTCTGAGGGTTTTAAGGGTTTAGGGTTTAGGGTTCAGGGTTTAGGGTTTAGGGTTTAGGGTTTGGGTTCAGAGTTTAGGGTTTTGGGGTTCGGGGTGGTGCCGTGTGATCTTGATTCTGAAAGCCCTAAGCTGGAACCCTAAACCCTAAACCCTAAACCCTAAACCCTAAACCCTAAACCCTAAACCCTAAACCCTAAAGGTTCATCCTTTATAAACCCTGTCCTGGGGCTTAGGCTTTGTGCTTGGGATCCTTTGTATTCAGCCCTTAAACCGGTTGGCCTGAGTCCCTTGGGTACAACAAGGCGCTCCTTTTTCCAATGCAGGCGATTCAAGCTTAGGGTTTAGGGTTTAG